GAGCTGGCTGTGATCGTTCGACCCGGGCCGTACGTCTGTGCCGAATGGGAAAATGGAGGCTTACCGTATTGGTTACTCAAATATCCCAACATCAAGCAGCGGAGTTCAGATTCTAAGTGTGTAGCACTTACATATGTTACTCATCGGCAGCCCCACAGAATCAAATGCTCACCGTTCTGGTTTCAGTTTTCTTCGCGAATCCCTGGCATGGTGGGACGTGCTGTTGCCTATGATAAGGCCGTATCTATGGCAAAACAATGGCCCTGTGATAATGGTTCAGGTGAACGCGTCCACTTGTTTGAGTTCACCGCAAGCCTACTGAGCAAGCCTACTGAAGTTTATTTGGTTCCAGATCGAGAACGAATACGGTAGTTTTGGCTGTGATCACGTTTATCTTCATGCACTACGGGACAAAGCTGTTGAAATACTCGGAAATGACACCGTGCTGTTTACGAGTGGGTTCCAGACACAATCCATTTTAATCAAATGGGCGGAGGCTCGCAGCAACTGTGCTGTCGTCATGGGCGCGCCACAACGCATTCGAACGAGGGCAGTCTCTGCGAATTTCTGCACATTACACCACCCATTTGATAATCGTGGAATTTGCTTCAACCTATTAAGCGGTTGAGCTGAGCTTATTTTGGATTGATTACTAGAGCATAAGGTATTCTTACTAGTGTATCAGCTGACGCTTTTTTAGCATACTAGGGTGACGCCCTGGTGCTTAATACTGCTGGGCTAGCAATGACTTCATACGTTTTTTAGCAGTGATTAGCCATTTTTTAGTAGTGATTAGCCATTTCATGGCAGCATGGGGACTTTCATGGCTGGGTCGGTGCAGTCCTTGAGGCCATTGTACCGTCCTCTTTGATGAATCTAGAATTTAGCACAAACAAGGCACTAGTGGGGAGTATACTAGAGTACAGCATCGATAAGCATGTTCCGCTCCCCCCTTCCCCTCCCTCCCTAGATCTCTCCCCTGGTAGGACCGCCTTCATCATCCTAGCCACCATGTTTCTAGGTTTTCCTAACTCCAGCTTCATTCTCCAGCTTTGCACAAAACTGCGCGTTTAAGGCGGGGGTGGAGGGGAGGGAGTCACTGAACAACGGTGGCAGGGGAGGGATCACTCAAACAAATATTTAGTTTTCGACTATTTATTATTCTTTCAATTATGGTGAAGTGTAACTGTATAGCAGTTGTTGGGCGGCCCACTAGGCAATCAGCGGGGTGGTTAGACAGGAGGAATTTAGGAGGCAACACGGTTTCCGCCGATCCACTAACACCGATCAAAAGCGAAACCACGACCCCACGTGCGCATGCACCAAAAAAAAAAATGCGAAACCGAACACAGGGCGTGGCAATTTGTGAAACCGTAAAGAAGCGCGATCCGAGCGATCAGCTGCAGCGCTTGATGGTTTCTTCTCAGGCGGTAATCGTGCTCTAGTGTACATTACGATCTTGGTGACCATGACAACTGCGCACTAAGCGTGTGGACATGTAACCATCTTCCATGTGGAGGGCCTGTAGCGACCACAGGGTGGTAAAATCTGTGAAAATGGGCACACATAGCCTGGCTGGAGCGATGGACGCAGTCAAGGCGAAAGTTTGGAGCACGAATGACAGCTGTAGGTGAAACTCCAGCGAACAAAAATTGGGTTTATAGAGTCGTAGCAAAGGTATAGTGCCCAATAGGGATAGCTTTCGTTGAGCGAGTGGAACATAGTGACATTAAAGGTTCCAGTCCCTCTCCTGCACACCCAGAGTAACTCTATTCATTCCAGCCGATCCACCAGAAACGATCGAATGTGGCGTGATCGACGGCGTCTATGCGACGGTGGATTTTGGAGAACGGGGATTGCTTCTTGCTGACGAGTACTTCAAGATACAAGCCGACGCAAACAAGAAAAGTGGGTGGTCTCTACTTCCATTCATCTTGCCTAAGATCCATGAAAGAATTAGGGCAGTGATTACAGCTGAAGAACAGAGTCCGCTATTATCATACGTAGGTCGTAGGATTCAGGTACTACGGTCACGATGCTAAAAAGTTCAGCAATGAAAAAATGCAAAAAAAATCGTCAAAACGTACCCGAGAAAGCCGTCATTGCATTCTCAGCATTACATTAGCATACAGCGAAAGCAAACTCACCGTGGAGTAGAAAAAACGATGGCATGACGGAAGATTTGCGGAAAATGACTGAGGCCCCATTGCTATGGCAGACCGCAATGCTAGAGGAGGAGAGTGCTCGAGAGGGCGGAGAGCGCTTATCGAGGCAAAGCTGTGGCGTGCCTATCGAGCACAAGCCACGAAAGCATTGCACTCGTATGATTGCGGACTGCCACCTTGTTTAGAGGATGCTGGCGCAGTCTTTGAATCTTTGAACTCTGCCTTTGAACATCTAGACTGTCATCTCAGTATGGAATTTCGCATTCACTAATCAAGCCCATCATATTGGCATTGCCCTCACTGAGCTGGATGCTCGGATTGACTTGATCAATGGTGCACATTCGCTACACCTCATTCTAGAACATTTGAGGAGCGTCATACTGAATCTTGATACTTCAGAAGGTGGCCCACGTGTGGACTCCGAGCTCTACCCCGGCTGGTATCGTACGTGGGGAGAGAAGGGCATTGAGCAAAATCCCAGCGCTTCTACAGGTACGCTCACAAGACTCTGTTCACTTCGATTTCATCACTCAGAAAAGTCAGCCAAAGTAGCCAAACAGTCTAGTCTATCTGTCAGCGAATAAATAG